AGAAAAATCTGCAGATACACTATTACTACTTCTAGGACTACAACAACACACACATACACACTCACAACCCCAACACTGATGTTCAATTACCTACCCCTCCTCTCTCTTTTGCCTATGCAACTGGCAATTCACATTTTAAAGCAAATATGCAAGAACACAGGCACTCTCGGGGCGCCTGGGTGGCTCAGTCGTTAAGCGTCTGCCTTCGGCTCAGGTCATGATCCCAGGGTCCTGGGATCGAGCCCCGCATCGGGCTCCCTGCTCCGCGGGAAGCCTGTTTCTCCCCCTCCCTTTCCCTCTCCCCCTGCTTGTGATCCTGCTCTTACTGTGTCTCTCTCTGTCAAATAAATAAATAAAATCTTTAAAAAAACAAACAAACAAACAAAAAAAACACAGGCACTCTCACATACTACCAATAGGAATAAATTTTCTGTAGAGTAATTTGACACCATGTTTCAGAGCATAATATTTGGCTCCACCTTGAAAGTATACATACATACCTCTGGACTTCCAAATTCCACTTACAGGAATTCTTCCTAAGGAAACAACTAAGATTTGCATAAAATCTCATGTATCTCAAGGGTGTTCTCTGAAATACTAAATAGAGTATTAAAAGGTTGGAAATAACAGAATTTACCCCCCAAAATAAAAACAGTTAAATAGATTATGGCATATTCACATAATGGAATACTATGCAGCCACTGAAAACAATATTTTAAAGGAAGGGAGGGAGGTAGTAAATCAGGAAGACTGTAGGAAAAGACTAAGAGGAAAGAGCATGAATGCAAGTGTGGAGTTAAACACAGTCTGGGAAATGGTAAATCATTTACTTCAGAACACTATTTAGTAGAAACAGTGGACATTCAGAAAATCCCTAAAATAGAGGTGTACCATATGTATCACTAAACTTATTCACCTGAGCAATATTGTGAAGTTGTTAATATAAGATTTGGAGCCATGAGACCTGAAATCTGATACTCAAACTCAGGTTTTTCATTTACTACCTGACAATGCTGAGTCTGAACCTCAGATCTCCATCTATAAAACATAATAATACCTTTCATACTACCATTATACAAATAATGTATATAAAACACTGTGCACACAAATATCACAGTAAGTACTAACGAACAGTAGCTTTTTGATAATTAAACCACTGTGCAAAAAAAATCCATTTTAAAAGAAGTGTGGTAGTTGGAAGACACTACTGTTAAGAGATTTGCAGGGTATTTATTTCTAAGCAACTGTCCTAATTATATACAATGCTAAGCACATACTATGTAAGTTTGTCAGTGGAGTAGCACATTTCAGCCCTAACCATACTGAGAACATAATCATATACTGCCTCTTACAGGAGAACTGATTGTTCTGTGATAGTGTGAGCTACAATTATTTAAAGAATAGACTATTTCTGTTTCATTTATATCATTAACAACCTTTACAGTTTATAAAAAGCTTTTGTTCTGTTAATTTTAGTTGTGAAAGTGGCAGTGTAGGTGTTGACTGTCCTGCTTTATTGGTCAATCACTTGCTCAGATCTACAAAAGCAAAGAAACCAGACCTCATCCCTTAGCTTAGACCTAATGCTCTTTCAATTCATCTCTCACTTTTTCCTCTTTTTTGCCATTATTTTTCATAAATGCTGATAAGTGAACACTTTCACTTACTCATTTCATAGTTCCAATATGCAAGAGTCTTTACAGTCACTATGTACAAACTAAGTTAAACTACTGAAAGAAAAATGATGGTGAAGCAATAATTATGTAATTCAAAAGTCTTATCCTTTTATTTTAAAAGCTATTTAGAATGGTATCATAGTACATTTACATAAAACATTTTTAGTAAAACAATACATAATTTTATTCTACTAGTATTATATAAATGAGGTTCACCGGACTTAAATAGAGCAGCAATTTAGCAAATATAGCAAGAAACACCATTCTTTTATATAACATTATTAGTATGTTAATAAAGGAAACAGGATCATCTAAAACTGAGAAGTTATTACCAGTTCTGACATTTCATGATGGCTATCTTGACCACCATTACTGTGATTATCATTTTTAAGCGTAGATATTATTTACTCAACACCTATTACTTACCAACAATCAGTAATAATTTTCTGGAAATATAGTAAATCAAAGTGCCACTAAAACTTTCTCTGTACTAATAAAATTTTAAAAACTATAAAAATATATACAAAGTTAATATCATTAGGAAAAAAAGATTCTGTTTAATTCAGTAGTGTGCTTTTCACCTACCTTCATGAGACAAATTAACTAAGCAAATTAAGCAAAGTTAAGCAAATGAAAATACTTTCACCTCCAAAGAAAATAAAACAGGAACAAAATTTAAGTTAAAAAAAAATTGTTTGTCTTCCAAGCAGGGTTATTATATATACAGCAACACCTTAAGGAAAGTTACAAAAGAATCCATTGTTAAGGGCATCTTTTGAAAATTCCTTTAGGAACATGGGTCTGGTGCAAGGTTGGTTCGGATGCTTTAATTTCCTAACTTAATTACTCCAAAAAGAAAGGAAATATTTACTGAGCATCTACTATGTACAAGACACTTTAGTGGGATTAAATTTAACACTTTTAAGTTGTTATTTCCTACCAATTAGATAATTTTCAATGTTAGACTTGCCACTAGGGGGAGTTTATCTTGTTTAATAAATTTAATTGAAGATGGACTGGAAGAGCTTCAGGTTAAAGTTATCACCTACTTGATTCCAAAATTTTATGGAACTGTATATTAAAATGTCTTAGTAACAGTCCTATAATTACAACAGAACATTTTTTCTTTAAAATAAAATGACTCTCACTTAAGGGATTAAAATTAAATAGATCTCAATAGCATTTTCAGCTCAGACTGGATGTATTTTTCTGACAATGCTGGCATATTTTAGACCTCATTAGCTAAAACTAGTAACTAAAAATTCATATTAAACTTAATATTAGGTCTAATGGCCACATCCCTAAAATGAACTTTGATTAGCTGCATTATAAAGTAAACCATTTTTCATTCAGGTAAAAACTTATAATCAAAATCACGTGATTCTATAAATGCCAGTACTAGGCTTTTCTTAGGGAGCAATGTAGTGACATTTTAAGGTATTTACATGACGAGAAGCAATGCATGATGCTCAACAAAGATCTGATAAACATCTATCCTAACCAGAATAAAATGAAGGTGAATGTGGAAAATGCTTTAATTATACTATATTATGAGAGATTATTAAATACAAATATACTAAAAAGTTTTAGGAAGTATATTAAAATGCTAAGATAAAATAATGAAAGGTACATCTTATATAAATAAAAAATGTAAAATATATTTAAAGGGAAGATCTTTAGTAAAATGTTAATTAAAGCCAAAGTTGTTAAACTTTATAATGAATACAATACTAAGGCTTTTGATTTTTCTAAAAAAAGTCATCTAGATCCTTTGTTACAACAATTACTAAAATCTAAAAATTCATCAGGGAGATGTTTAAGTTTTCTAACCATACACATAAAACCCATGATATCTCTATTTTATACTATGCTATGTGTACTGTTGTATTAATAAATACATAGAACAGGCAATTGGGATACCTCTCAGTTTTAAATAACCATCAAGGACAAGGTTAAGTCAGGCAAATACATTTTTATATAAGAAACCACTCCACAAAATGCATGTCACAGAACTGCCAAGACAGAAGACTGCTGACTAGACAGTATTCCTAATGTCAGCCACACTGCAGGATAAGACTTCCAAATTTTAATCAGTATATTTATAAGTTAATATCCTCTGTTAATGCCAACTCTAAATCTGAAGAACTACGACAAGTGAAATTCCAAAAGGAAATTAAAACTCCAGAATAATGAAACATAATGAAAATAATGAAAAATCCAGTTAGTGGTTCCAAACCCAAATTTTAAACTGTTATTTTTCTGATCTGGATTAATGACCTAAATTAAGTTTTAAGCAAAATGCACACTTCTAATTTGTGCTGAGTAAACGTTTGTGTTCTTAAAATGGTTTATGAAAATTTGAAAAATGTTAAATAACTCAAAGATCATCATTAGTAATAAACACATGAGTACAGCCAACTCACAGCAGTCAATCTGTGTCAAGCACAGATTTTTTTTTCTGAAACATTTTGAAGTATATACCATCTTACACAAATATCTCACCAAAACAAACAAAATACCTAAGTTTCTAGTCACTCTATTAGAATTGACAAAACTTTGAAGTAGGGGGAAAAGGTAATTAAAGAAAGATGCTAAGAATGCAAACGTCTGTTTCAATAATTCCAGCTTCAAATCTTTCAATTCACAGACCCTAAAACCACCTCAAAAGTGTAAGAAAGTTCCCCAAAAGGGTGGCTTAACATACAAATCCCCCATTGTACCCTGTCCACCACACTCATTCATCCCCGCTACCACCTCTCTATATTTTACCTATATGAACACGTTGAGCGCTACAAAATTACTGCCAAGTAAGTAAATAGGAGCGCAGCCGAAAGCCGGTTGCAGGGACCAAAAAATAACTTCACAGGAAGTGAGAGCCTTTCTTGCAGACGGCACGTGTTTAGCTCTTTAAAACATCTGGCCCTACCAAGGAATGAGAATAGTAACTGTCCTTTAACCTAACCCATGAGGATATTAAAAGTGGAAGGGGATTTCAAGGCGGTTTTACGTTAACTAATCCACCAGCCCCACAGGGCAGGCTAGACCTGTCAACAACCTAAGACCACAGAAAAGAGAACAGAGGTGCAGAAGGATGGGGGTGCGAGAGGGTGCCTGTGCGCCGGGGACTGGGAGGGGGAGGACGCAATTTTTTAAATGTAATAATTAAAAATGGAAAAATCCAAGGCCTGGGTCTCTCCACTGGCCTCCAAATCTCGATTCCACAGGCTGGGTCGGGAATGAACCTAATCTCTGGACGGCAAGGATTTGGGGGCAGGGTAGGGCCAGCTCCCGCACCCGAGCAGGGGACGCGCTCCGGACACTCACGTTTTCTGCACCGGCTTCCGCCGCTTGCGACTGGCGTAGGTGATGTGGGCGCTGCTACTGTTCATGGTGCCCAGCGGCGGCGGCTCCTCCCCGGGAGCGGGAGCAGACTGCCCGGTGCCCGGGACCCGGCAGCGACCGGGACGACCGCAGCGGCAGGCGCCGGCTTCCACGAAGACACGCCCGCTCCACCTGCGTCCTCCCCGGGCGGTGGCGAAGCCGCTGCGCGCCCCGAGCCGGGGCTCCTGCAGCCTCACGCGTCCAGGTGCGCTGCCCCGGCCCCGAACTGAGGGGCGAGGGGCGGAGACCCGTGAGCGAAGCGGCGCAGGTGCCCTCTACACCGGCGGAGGCGGCGCAGCGCTGTCCGCAGGTGAGGCGGCCCGGGTGGAGGAGGAGCCTGGGCTGCCTGTTTGGAATCCTGGCCTGGGTCGCGCGCTGTGGCGCCGCGCCCCGTGACCGTCGCCTCGGCCCCTTCGGTAAGGGAGGCGCCGCCGCGCTGCTCCTGGGGCTTCCCCTATCCCGGGTGCTTCCCGCCTGCAGAACTCGGACTCCGGCCGCACTCGGACTCCGGCCGCACCAGCTTCCGCTCGGCTACGCGCCTGCCTCTGGTCTGAGACAGTGGTCCTGGTCACGTTCTCCGGACCGAGCGTCGAGTAGATTCTCCCTGCAATGCCTCTCGCCGTGCCACACACCGGCTGAAGAGCAGAAGCTCCCCCGACCCCTCTCCGGCTCCGCCCAGCATATCGTAGCCCCGCCCCGTCCTACTTGGCCCCGCCCCTCCATTCCATTCCCTTGAGGGCCCCACCCTCCCTGCGCGTGATGACGGAAGACGTAACGACGCCCCCTGCCCCCCCGCCTTGCCTGCCAGTAGCCATCTTCTTGAGGTCAAGGGGAGGGTTCTGTGGAAACATTTCCAATCCAGAAAAGAGGTGTGACGACAGATTACGTAGTAGACAAACTCTTTGTAGCTAGAGTAGCTCAAGGACAGACATGCCAAATAGTGAGCTTAACTACACCTATGTGAGAGTGACTCAGCTAACTTTTGGCTAAGAATTACAGTAAGCTGGCAGATAACCAATGGGACTCTAAGTATTTTCCTAGAGGGGAAGGCTTCATTCAGGAGGCCACATATGAGTTGAACTTGAAGGCCAAGAGTTTCCTTGGCCTTTTTTTTTTTTTTTTTGTCTCCATACTAGATGATATAATATCTATTCCCCAGCCAGAATAACTTCGTTACTCTATAGTCAGATTTCAGTGGGATGGAAAGGAAGCAAGGAAGAAGGAAATCACGGAGCATTTGCAGATAAGTAGTCTGGTACGATTGGAGAGAAGAGCTGGAAGTGAAGTTCAGGAATTCTAGGATCAAATCACAAAGACTTTTGATGAAGAGTCTAGATTTTATCCCGTAGTCGATGGAAGCGTTTTAAAGGTGTTCAGCAGGAAAGTGACAGTGTGGTGTCTCGGAAAAGTCACTCTGGGAGGAAAGTGCAAACTGGATTACAGGAGAGTAAGCCTGGATGCAGGGAGAGTAGTAAGAGAGTTGTTAAAATAGTCCAGGTCAAAGTTCAGGGAAGTGGCAGTAGGACAGAGAGAATAAAGAACAAATAGATGAAACATCTTCAACTCCCCTTCCACTTCTATCTAATTATTACAGCAAATGCTATTACATTTTATTCTTTGCAAATCCCAAATTCATCTCCCTCCACCTTATTCTTCAATAATTACAGAAATAGAAACTCCAATGACATACTATTTGGGATTCTTAAACTGATATTATCCTCTCCATACATTAATTCCTCAAGAGATATTTTGAGGGTAACAGGAATTTGTGTCAGGAATTGTGCTAGTACTGGGGAAATAATGGTAAACAAAACCAGAAATGTACCAAATGTCCAAGAATATTGTAATATTGTAATCTGTTAGGTAAATTTGACCTACTCATTAAGGCTTTCCCAAAAAATGGTAATTGAGTTGAGGTCTGAAGGAGAAACAGGGTTACCTAGGAGAAAATAGGGGAAGAGCATACCAAGCCAGTGAAACAGTACAAGCAACATCCCTTTAGTGGGAAGGAAACAAGCTCGGGGCATCAATGGTGAAATTTGTGTTTAAAAAATATCATTGTATCGGGGCGCCTGGGTGGCTCAGTTGGTTAAGCGACTGCCTTCGGCTCAGGTCATGATCCTGGAGTCCCGGGATCGAGTCCCGCATCGGGCTCCTTGCTCAGCGAGGAGTCTGCTTCTCCCTCTGACCCTCCCCCTCTCATGCTCTCTCTCTGTCATTCTCTCTCTCAAATAAATAAAAAAAAATTAAAAAAAAATATCATTGTATCTCGGGTGTAGAACAGATTAAAGAGGGAGGAGCAGAGTGGAATGGATGGAGGTAATACTCCTCGGAAAGACTAGACTATCCCGGAGATGACAGTTATTGATACTACAGTGGAGATATTGGTGGAGATGAAGAAAATTGAATAGATTCCATAGATATTTGGGAAGTCTTGGAGGATAGAGTGGACATATGACAGTGAGGGAAGAGAATGTATCAGAAACTTAATAATAGTTTTCTGGACTATGTATCTGGCTATGTGATGTGGCATGTACTTTTGGGAAATTATTAATTTAGCATGGATCTCTTATGTTTGAGGTACCTCTGAGACATCTAAGGGAAAATGTCAGGTAGGCCATAGAATACACAAATTTGTAACTCAAAGAAGTCATATGAGCTGGAGACATAAATGTAGAAGTCATTTGCATTTAGCTGACAGAGTATGGAGATTTTAGGATACAAATATATGCTAGGAAAGAAGGACTAGTCCCCAAAGAATTTCAATATATAATATCTAATAGCTAAATAGAAGATGATGGACCTAAAAAACCAATTGTAAAAGAGTCACTTGAATGATAACAGGAAAATAAGCCGATCATCATGTCATGGAGAACAAAGTGGAAAAATGTCAGGAGTGGTTTACAGTACTGAATGATGTTGATATGTTCACATAAGATGAGAACTGAAAATGTCTGTTGGCTTCTCAACATGGAGTCATTCGTGACTTTAGTGAACGTATGTCGGTAGTGAACATTACGTTGGTGGACACAGAACTGGATTCACGATGAAAAAATGGCATAAGAAGACAATTTTTTTTTTTTTTTTTAGGTTTGGTTGTGAAAGGGAAAGACCTAGTATGGTAGCTAGGAGGGGAGTAAAGGGTTAAATTCTGTGTGTGTGTGTGTGTGTGTGTGTGTGTGTGTGCACGTGCACATGTTTTAATGGGAGATAAACAATTGAGAGAGAGGAGATTGGGATTGACTGTGTAAGAAATACAAGGAGCAGTGAAGGAACAATAAATATTAAAAATAGTAAGGACAGAAAGGAATGAGTGCCACAGCAGAACAGGGGAATTAGGAGTATATAGTAGACTAGGTAATAGCAAAAATAGCTTCTCTAGTGCTTGACTCTTCATAGCAGTCCACAGCTTTATTAGGGAGTTATAAGAAAGGCAGACTCTCTGGCTGTCCTTACTGAGTCAGAATCTGAATTTAACAAGATATTTCAGGTAACTCAAGTGTACATAAAGTTTGAGGAGCACTACTCCACAGAAGCTGGGGGAAAAGGAGGACAGTGGGTGAGATGTAGCAGGCTGGTAATTTTTTATCAGAAAGATGAGGGAGATGTGATGAGGTGGGTATTCTAGCAGGATCTACAAAGAAACCAGGTGTGTTTTGTGGTTGATGGTTTTTGTTTTAATTTTACAAGTCTAGGAAGTAAAAGTAATCTGGAAAATAGCAACAGGGAAGTAAGTGGACATCGACCCTATATCCTGGATGTGTGATGAGAGGCACCATTTGGGAGATGATAGCCTCAAGGAGAGCTAGCTTTCAGTTTAAGGCAAAAGAGGGACCAAGTTCCCAAAGATGACAGTGCACACAGGGGACTTTGATGTCTCTATCTTTCCTTCTCTTTTATTTCTTCATCTCTGTATTCCTGTCCATCACCATTCTATCTAAAATGTATGAAGTGTAAACAAATAGTTTCCTCCTAGAATAGGAACTTCAGGGGTAAAAAATGCATATTGAAACTTTATTTATTTATTGTGTAACTTAAAACTCCTTTTAGAAAAGAGATATACAAAATGCACTAAATCCCATGAACCAATATTAATTTAGTGTTTTTACAAAATGTCTACCCTTTTAAAAGGTGTTAGTTGCTTGGTATAATCATTCTCTATCTGATTTTGTCTTACTTCCACACCCTAATTTTCTGCTTGACTTCAGGACTTTTTTTCATTATCCAGAAATCCTGTGATGCTATACATATCACAGTCTTAGTTTAGTAACTGATCTTTGTATAATAGATCATAAGAATAAGATTTTCAGAATTTATTTCACTTTAATAATAACACCATTCACTTCCTTGACAATTTTTGCTTAGTATGTCAATGAAATCAGTCTTTGTAGTATAATCCCATTAAAAAAAAAAAAGAGTTGCCATTTTCTAGAAACTATCACTTTCTACTTCTAACATGACCACTGTTGGACATGGTTCTCAAAGTGTGGTTTGTGGCCATCAGTCAGATTTTAAAATTTTCTGTGATCAGTTTTTATGTAATAACATGATTTCTTTCTTATAACAAATAATTTGCCTATAAGAATTTATGAATATTTTACAACTTATGCAAAGCAACATTAGCCTTTTATTTAGTTTATGTGAGATTGCGTTCTGAGGTTTCAGATGCAGCTATAGGTCTGTGAGTTCCTTTTTCCTGCTAAGTACTATGAGAAAAAGAACTAAGTTTTAGGAATGCTATTATAAATAGCAGCTGTTTTAGAATAAAGGAAAATAACTAAATTGAACGCTAACCCTATTCTGTCACAGTACACGTATTCATTCATTTCGCCAACACAATGACATCGGTTGGACACCGTGCAAACCACTAGCTCCATGTAGTTCAGAACTTCAGCATGAAATTGTACTTCTTCCATTCGATGACATCATATCTTTGTGATGCTGGGTTTTTGTAAGTTGTAGTTATAAAACACAAGGACCTCGAGAAAATGACTGTGGACTAGGAAATGAGGGTAATGGTTTCCAATGCAATTCCAAGTTTGAGAATTTGTAACATGCCCAATAGATGTGCACATCTCATTAAGAATGAAATAAAAATTTTAAAAAAATGTATGTGCATTATTTTTTTTAAATGGCTACTAAAGGCTA